TTTGGTCCAGGAGTTCTCCACCCTGGCCATGTATCAGAATCAGATGGGATTCAGAATCAGAATGTCTTAGAGTGGCTCTTCCTTATAAAACAAAAAAACAAATACGCAAGCAAGCAATAAAAGCAAAAAAACCCAAAAACAACAGCCCTCAAAACCCACCTTCTGCCCAGATGGATTTAAAGCACAGCAAATGTTAATTGTGATTTATCTAGAATGAGGGCTGTGAATGTCCAGCTTAGTCCCACACTGACCTAATCATCAGTAGGACTTGCTTTAGCACTGAGTGCCACACCTTAGAAGTCACAGAGACAACATGAAGCATGCTTACAGAGGTCAGGAGATCTAAGAGGGAGCATACTATGTGCTCTCAGAACTTGAAACACTATAATGGGAAAGGAGAATTAAGTTTTGTACATGCCTCCGTGAGTCCTGCCCGTTCCAGTCTCTCCCCGTAACCCGCCCTCACCATCCTCACCCTATTTTATCTCCTTAAACCCAGCCTAAGCATGAGGATTAATGTGTGAGAGCTAAAGTAGAAATTTCTTTCTGTAAAATATTTATTTTTGATGTGAGAACTTCAAAAGTGGATGCTGTCTCAGAGATTAGTAAATTCCCTAAATTGTTGGTATTCAAGCAATGTTCTAATAGCACTTAACGTGTCATAAAGGGAATGCAAACTTTCAGTGGGAGCTGGATAATGTGGTATATTTAAAATGCCTGCAGGTTCTTAGATTCTATAATTAGAGCAGTGAATTCAATGTCAGAAGAATTTAAGCCTAATTTTTAAATACTGCCTTGTGATAATAAGTATCTTTGTGGTTTGATGTTTTACTTGTAAAATTAAGGGATTTCATTGCATTATTTCCTTATGTCTCTCCAACTCTATGTCTTTCAGTCGTATTTTGTTTTATCCAGTTAAATATCACATGTTCAAAACCACTTTAAACCTTATTGCTGTGAAAGGTTTAGAATGTAAAAATTATTAATAAGTTTAAAGATACATGTGATACAACATGTCAACAAATAAATGTATGAAATCAGTTTTCGATATGTTCCAATATTTTTTGTTTGAATTATTTTACCAATTCAAGTGGAGATTTTCAGTCATTTATCATTAAAATGAGTAGAGTAGGCTAGGGAATAGTTTTGCCTTGAAGTTTTATAAAGTATAAAATTCATGATTTTTGGCAAGCATACTACCAAATCAGAAAGGGGGAAATGAAAGTAAGTGTAAGAAAGTAATATTAATGAGTATTAAAT